GGAGTGAACTCGTAAAGAGGCCATACTAGATTTAGTGTTAACAAATGGAGATTTGGTATCAGATATTACTGTAGGTGAAAGTTTAGGATCCAGTGATCACCAGTCAGTGTGGTTTAATATAAGAACAGTGACTGAGTCACACCACACAAAAACAAAAGTTTTAGCCTTTAGAAAAAACAGACTTTTCTAAAATTAGAATATGTGCATTATCAGATTGGAGCAATTTAAATGGAGTCCAAGAGAAATGGGATTATTTAAAAGTTGCACTACTGAAGGCAACAGAAAATTGCATTAAGCTTGTCAGTAAAAGCAAAAAATTCAAGAAACCACTGTGGTACTCCGCAGATGTGGCCAAAATAGTTAAAAACAAAAAGTTAGCATTTAGTAATTATAAAAAACCAGAGTGAGGAAGACAAAATGATCTAAAAGATTAGGCAGAAAGAGGCTAAGCAAGTTATAAGAGTTTCCAAATCACACACAGAAGAGAAAATAGCACAGCCAGTAAAAAAGGGGGACAAAACTTTTTTTAGATACATAAATGAGAAAAGAAAAGTAAAACAAGGATTAGTTAGATTAAAAACAAAAGAAGGAAGGTATGTAGAACAGGATAAAGGTCTAGCTGACTGCCTCAATTAATATTTTTGTTCGGTATTTATAGATGAAAATGAAGGAAAGGGACCTCAGTTAAGAAAAGGGATACATGAGTCATTACACGTGAGTTTACAGAGGAAGAGGTTCTATTTCAACTGTCAAAAGTAAAGACAAATAAGTCAATGGAACGTGATGGAATACACCCAAAGCTATTAAAAGAGCTTAGTGATGTACTAGCAAAACCATTAACAGATTTATTTAACCAATCATTGTTAACAGGAGTAGTTCCAGAAGATTGGAAGTAAGCGAATGTTGTGCCCATTCACAAGAAAGGTAATAGGGAGGAGTCGGGCAACTATAGGCCAGTAAGCCTTACTTCAGTAGTGGGGAAAGTGATGGAAACCATGTTAAAGGATAGGATTGTTGAACATCTAAAAACACATGGATTTCAAGATCAGAGACAACATGGGTTTACTTCACGGAGATCATGCCAAACTAATCTTATTGATTTTTTTGATTGGGTAACTAAAATTATAGATCAGGGTGGTGCAGTAGACATTGCTTACCTAGATTTCAGTAAGGCTTTTGACACTGTTGCACATATAAGGCTTATCAATAAACTGCAATCTTTAAGTTTGGATTCAATATTGTTGAATGGGTAAGGCAGTGGCTGAGTGACAGGCAACAGAGGGTTGTAGTTAATGGAATATATTCAAAGCTTGGACTTGTCACCAGTGGGGTACCTCAGGGATCTGTACTTGGACCCATTCTCTTTAATATTTTTATTAGTGATATTGCAGAAGGTCTTGATGGTAAGGTATGTCTTTTGCTGATGATACTAAGATATGTAACAGGGTTGATGTTCCAGGAGGGATAAGCCAAATGGCAAATGATTTAGGTAAACTAGAAAAATGGTCAGAATTGTGGCAACTGACATTTAATGTGGATAAGTGCAAGATAATGCATCTTGGACGTAAAAACCCAAAGGGCAGAGTACAGAATATTTGATAGAGTCCTAACCTCAACATCTGAGGAAAGGGATTTATGGGTGATTATTTCTGATGACTTAAAGTGTAATAGAGCAGCAGGAAATGCTAGCAGAATGCTTGGTTGTATAGGGAGAGGTATTAGCAGTAGAAAGAGGGAAGTGCTCATGCCATTATACAGTACACTGGGTGAGACCTCACTTGGAGTACTGTACACAGTACTGGAGACCGTATCTTCAGAAGGATATTGATACCTTAGAGAGAGTTCAGAGAAGGGCTACTAAACTGGTTCATGGATTGCAGGATAAAACTTACCAGGAAAGGTTAAAGGATCTTAACATGTATAGCTTGGAGGAAAGACGAGAAAGGGGGGATATGATTGAAACATTTAAAAATACACAGTAAAGGAGGAGGCTATGTTTAAAAGAAGAAAAACTACCACAACAAGAGGACATAGTCTTAAATTAGAGGGACAAAGGTTTAAAAATAATATCAGGAAGTATTACTTTACTGAGAGGGTAGTGGATGCATGGAATAGCCTTCCAGCTGAAGTGGTAGAGGTTAACACAGTAAAGGAGTTTAAGCATGTGTGGGATAGGCATAAGGTTATCCTAACTATAAGATAAGGCCAGGGACTAATGAAAGTATTTAGAAAATTGGGCAGACTAGATGGGCCGAATGGTTCTTATCTGCCGTCATATTCTATGTTTCTATGTTATCGTCTTGCCTTGCCTCTTGCTTTACGCATCCCTAATGTTTTCCATGTGTCACTGCTGAAACCTTTGACTTGTAATAGATACACCAGACGGGTTGTTCCTCCCTCTTCTGTTCAACTGGAAGGTGAGGAAGAGTATGTTATCCGTTCTCTGCTTAAATCCAGAATTTCTAGGGTTAAACTTCAGTATCTTGTGGACTGGACAGGTCTTGGGTTGATGTTTTGGATATCCATGCCACTTGTCTTCTACGCTCCTTCCATTCCAAATTACCTTCCCAGCCTGGTACCTTCCATCCAGTGGGCGTATCTCAAGGGGGAGGGGGGGGGGTACTGTCAGGGTACCTTTTGTGTGGGCACAGGATGTGCCACGAACTGAAGTCCTTTTGCGAGAGGCTGGGGACCTGTTCAGGCATTCTCGTGCCGGCCGTGATAGCTCTGCCCTTTTTTGTGACCCGCCACAACGGTCGAATTCGAATGTTTTGGGGGCGTGGCTACAAATTAAAGAACACTGTATATAAGGGAACTTCTGAACTAGACTCATTGCCCTGTTGTGGTTCTTTTTAGTCCCAATAGCGCGTTGTACTTTGCTTATTTATGCTTGGTTTTGACTTTGGCTTGTTTGACTATCCTTCTTTCTACTACCCTTTGACTCGGCTTGTGTACCCTTGTTATTCTTGATTTCTGGCTTCCCTGTTCTCGGCTTGTACCTGTTTATTCTCTGTCCTTGTGACGCCAACCCAGCCATTCCAAGGTCTGGTAACATTACATCTTTATTACACTCTGCGTGTAGGATCCCAACCATTCCTGACAGCAATACAGAAATACCCCCAAAACATGACATTAAATAGTAACATACTCCTACATGTTATACATCTCCGGAAAGGTCTGATTCGAGTGCCCATTCTGTGAAAATAGCACTCAGATCCATGGGGTACTGTTGAAACACGACCCTGTCGAAGTTTTAGCTGACCGCTGATATAAACTTAGCGGAAAGGAATTCCATGCGTCAGCGTCAATTGCCAGTGTTTTAACGGGAGGTATATCTCCTCACGGAATGAGAGCTCACTCGTGGTTCTAGGGAACAATTGTCTGTCTTGAGGAACTGTACTTTCTAAAAAGCGCCTTCCTAGGACGCTGTGAAGGTAGGGAAAACTGTGTCACAAAATGACTGTGAAAACCAAGGTAGAGAGGCTGAGCCGGAGTTCCAGAGCGAGTTTAGGTTTGTCCTGCTGATGGCGCTTGGACACTCTGGCTCTTGGTGTGCTTCTTGTAGAGCAGTGTTCACAAACTCAGTCCAGGATTTATGTATTTCCCTGTTTTATTCCAATGGAGATACTGACAAAATCTGGACTGTTGGTGGTCCATGAGGACTGGGTTCGGGAGCACTGGACTAGAGAATAGGGATTTGGGGTAACCATGCGGAACTTAGTGAACTATAGTCTTTTACACGTGAGTTCTTCACAGGGACTCCTTCCTTTGGATGCACTTCTCCGGGGCAGCAACATTTTTATCACTTGCTTTTTAACAAGTGTGTTAAAGGACCACTCTAGGCACCCAGCTTAATGAAGTGGTCTGGGTGCCTGGTCCAGCTAGGGTTAACCCATATTTTTTTATAAACATAGCAGTTTCAGAGAAACTGCTATGTTTATAAATGGGTTAAGCCTTCCCCCAAAGCCTCTAGAGGCTGTCTCATTGAGAGCCGCTTGCGTGATTCTCACTGTGAAAATCACAGTGAGAGCATGCAAGCGTCCATAGGAAAGCATTGATAATGCTTTCCTATGCGACCGGCTGAATGCGCGCGCAGCTCTTGCCGCGCATGCACATTCAGTCGACGGGGAGGAACGGAGGAGGATCGGAGGCAGAGAGCTCCCCGCCCAGCGCTGGAAAAAGGTAAGTTTTACCCCTTTTCCCCTTTCCAGAGCCGGGCGGGAGGGGGTCCCTGAGGGTGGGGGCACCCTCAGGGCACTATAGTGCCAGGAAAACAAGTATGTTTTCCTGGCACTATAGTGGTCCTTTAACCTTACGCCTGTCACTGCTTTTGAGGAACTTTGGTTAACTGGAAACTGACGATATTGTGGTATTTCAATACTGAATCAGTTGCTAATAAACACTGATCATCTCCTTTTTCACCCCTTCTTTATCTGGACCTCGATGTGGCCGTAGGCAGGGACTTTTCTGAGCAGGACAGCACAAAGATTTTTTTGAAAATTCTTTATTTTTGTTGTTCATCAAAATACATATAAGCAACAATAAGCAGTCGTGTACAAGCAAAACAAATATGTGACAGTAAAATAATCTGCAAAAATTTGTAAAGGTATATAAGACAGCGTCATGAGTTAGGTGTCAGATGCTTGCTCTAGATAACTATCTTTAAACAGCTACGGTGACGTGACCCCCGATAACATGAGTAACTATGAGAAAGAAAGGAAGAAAGAAAAATATGCTAGACAATAGTATGCTTCACACTATGAAAGGACAAGCTATATAGTAGATAATTAAGTGTAGGTTGCACACTAAGCAATACATTGTAGTAAACAGTAAAAAGAAAAGAAAACCATATAGCTTGGGTCTTGCTGGTTTATACCGGACGGGCACCTAAGAGTATGGCCCAGCCCCACTCGGTTCGCTTATTAAGATGGGTAGTCAACAGTAAGCGAAAATTTATAAAAGCATAATAAAGCCTATTAAAATATAATAAAATGTAAGTGGTGGCAAGCATGTAGCTGGAGGTTCTGTGTTCAGATGTTATAAGCCCTGGAATCATCCTATTCCCACTTTCAGAATGGGCCTCTGATAGCGCCTCCTTGTCCAAGATTATAGCCGGAGTCCAATCCAAGGGCCCCAGGGCTACTCCCGAGCGTTGGAACTCCTGCCCCACACCTGATTGAGGGCCAAGATCTGAAGTCTACTAGCCCCATCCTCTGCTGAATGGTGGACAGTGTCCATAGTGAACCTCGAGGGATGAGGACCAAGTCCAGGTCTAATATCATGTGAGAACCCAGGCCCAGGAGGGGTACAGCTTGCTCTGGTTTCCCCATACAGCACCCTGACTCCTAAGCTTTTGGTAGCTGTGCATTCCCATAAATCCATGGTTTTCTGGGGACTCAGACTTACGGCGTTGAATGTCTCAGCAAAGGTTGTTCTCCGGTGAGATTACTGCTATGCTGCATGTTGCTTGAGGTCTTGTCAAGCCACCATCTTAGGTGAGTATAACAGCTCTGACTTCTGGTGGGGCTGCCTGTTAAGTTTCAGGAGTGACTGAGGCCTGTCCAGTACGGACTGGGATAACCACCGCTGGTCCAAAGGGGGGGGTGAACGGAGGGATGTCCGTCGATGCTTCTGGCATTCGACGGACATCCCTGTTGATCGTCAACCAGAATAAAGCACCGGTGTGTCCACAAGCAGGCGAGGGAGCACTAGATAGAAAAGTCAAATAAAAATCAGCGCTAAAACGCCACAGGGGATAATATTTATAAATAGTGTAGACAGCACACCTATAAGGAGAAGGGTTCCCTCTAGTACCCCCCAATACAAACGTAATAGAGAAAATAAAGAATAAAAATAAGGTAGTGCCTGTGAGAAGTAGATATATAAATAAAATAAATATATAAAATAACTTTGAAAAAAGTCCAGGTAACAACACTAGTCTATATATACTGTGTTACAGAAGGTATATACATGAAATACTACTCACAGTATCCAGAGCTAAAATCTAGCTCTGGTTTGAAAAGCGTGAAGTGGAATGATCCCCACTCAAGGATATATGCAGTTCTTCAGACTTTCAATCTTGTGTAGCAGCAAAGTAATCCAACCCAGAAAATAAAAGGTGGTAGAATATAGTGCTCACTGTATCTCTAAGTGTCAGAGTAAAATATATGAAATGTACTTACAATTTGCCGAGCAGACTCACTGCTAGGTGTTCAGCGTATGGGTGGTATAATCCCCACATATGGATTCTTTATGCTTCTTTGGAACAGCAATAAGGATGTCAGGCCAAAATTTGTTAAAACTAAAAAAAGGAATATGGCAAATATATAATATATAGCCAAAAAAAAAAAAATCCTTTATTAAACAGATATACTAAAATTGATTCAATGCATCTCTATGAGGAGGTGCTGATTGACCAAAACAGCATTTGGCCCCGTCCCTGTGCCAATTTTAGCCAATGCTTTCCCTTACTAAAGATCAGCCATTTTAATTATGTCACAAAAGGGGCGGAGCCTGCATTGGTGGACTCGCTCGGCGCTGGAAATAAGCAGAGTTTTAAACTTTTATAGGGGGGCAAGCCACCTACATGGTGGGTTAAGCACTACAGGGTCAGGAATACATGTTTGTGTTCCTGACCCTATAATGATCCTTTAAATTTCATGATTGCTGGAAATGTCCTATGTCCCCAAATATGCACGTTTGTTTGTGGATGTAGAAATTGTTTACCCAGTCTTTCACTTTTTTTTTTTTTTTATCTTATGTATAAATAACCTTCCCATGGTTTTTTTTTCCTTTTAAAAATAGTTTTTGAAAACTTTAAAATCTATTGAAAAGAATTATGGTTGATGTAGATCAAGCATGTCAAACTCAGAGGCTAGCACGGGCCAAATAAACAAGGTTTAAGTTTATGTAGGCCGCAAAAAAAAAACCAAAACACACCTTAAATTTTCATAGTAACGTAGGTTTATTTTGAAAAGTACAGTATATATAAAAAACAAAACAAAACAGCATCCCCCTCTTCTAAACCCCAGCAACCTCCTCTACTAAACCCTTGCCCCCCCTCTACTAAACCCCAGTCCCCCACTCTATACTAAATCCCAGCACCCCCCTCTACTAAACCCCAGCCCCTGTTTAAAAACAAAATTACCCAATAAGCAGACTCCACTCACATTGCCGCTGCCAGTATGCGAGTACCGGAGTCCAGCCTCTGGTATACCCCCATGGCACCGACCACACCCTGTGCGAAAGCTGATCCTCCCGCTACTCCTTGAAACCCTGTGAAGGTGGAGCACATTGACATCCCATTGGAATGTGACGTGGCGTTGAGTGCCTCTGTGCACCTCCAGGTCCTCCACTGTCCAGCTGCGGCCATCGCAACACTGACCAACACATATTCACTGACAGACACACACACTCACTGAGAGACACACACACACACACTCACTGACAAACACACACACACAGGCCTCTCAAGTGGGGATCTTCTCTCTTGAGATTTCCCTTCCTGCTCCCTCACGTGTGCAGTTTAGTGATGCCGGCCAAGAATTACGTCATATTCCGGTACCTGGCATCACCACAGAAGGCGCGTGCAAGGGAGCAGTGAGGAGCAGGAAGAACAGACTGAGCTCCCTCGCTGCCGCCTGCGTCCTCTCCCCCCGGCCAGGTCAATTTTAGCAGAGTTTACACCTGCAATGTGGGGAGAGCAGGTGCCTACTCTCCCTTAACAGTAAGCATGTCAAACTTGTGGTTGGCTGGGCTGCAAAGATATTCATTGACATACTTCATGTAGATCTAAACAAGCTAGGGATCTTTTTTGGCCATCTCTGTTGTAATGATAGGTGAATTTGTACGGTTGCTGTCTATATATGTATATTACATTTTAATACAAATCCTACATTAAAAAAAATTAATAAAAAAATAAGAGGTGCAGTCACTAGCCTTGGTCTTTAGAATGGAAGCTAAATGCATACAGCAGAATCTGAGAGTTCAGATACGCTTCAGACCAGGTGTACATATTCTCAAATGCATAGAGGAATCTCATGGCTCAAACCAAGTCTCAACTTACTCCAAATATATGCTTCATTGGAGAATTCAGACAAAACTAACCGGTTTAATTTCATTTGAATTATCTTTTCTCTTTCCAAACGGGTCTACAGTAATTAAAGACTTTTACATTTGTATTATGTAAAATTCTTATATTTATCCTTCCTGTATATAAAGCATTTTTATATATCATTTGTTTCTAAAATCCTTTTGAATTCTAAAACTCGTGTTCCAGGACATTTTGTATTTTGTTTCAAAAGAAAAAGTATATATAACTGCCTAATGCCTCTACATAAAATAAAATTAGATAATTAAAAAAAAATGTATTCGTGGAGCACACTGATTTTCTACCATTTGCTTAAAGCGGCATGTAACGGACCATTTCAGCACACAAGGGGTTAAAACTGTTTAGGCGATCGTCCCCTTTCAGAGATGCAGGCACAGCTACTGTAGAACACCAAACTCACGAACCGCCAATAAGGGAATACTCCAAACTCCCGAACGGCATACAATATAGCACTCCAAACACACGAACTGGAACCATACGAATCGCTGCTAGCAGACGAATAGAAAAAGCATCCAAGCGGCTTACACTCCTAGCAATTAGTCTCTATCAGCGTTCAGTAAATCTCCCCAAAGACGAGACAAGGCTCCGTGTTGAGGGTCAAGCAGTGGTCTGTTTAATGAGGGCTACCTGCCCAGTATTTATGCAGGTCTCCCACCTGGTGGACACTCCCCTAGGGGACCAAATGGGAGACTGTGACAAGGGACAGACAAGTAGCCAAATAGGACACACAGTCACATTGTAGTCCCACAATGCATCCTGGCTTCCTCCCATCTGCCCTGGAGATAATTGAGAAGTAATTCAATTATCTCCCAGGACAAAGGCAAATCGCCATTATGCACGTGGGGATACTAACACAATAATTATTATTAAAATACACTATGTAAGACACATTACATTAAAACTATACATTTAACATGTCCCCAGATAGCTCAGGTCTGAGCGCACATTATTAAGCAAATGGCGCTTAGACCACACAAATACAGTTCAATCGCCAGGGAGCCAAAGTCTTTACAAAGTTAGTTCTCATACGAATGAGCTCCATGGGATTCCTATCTGGAGTATAATACAGTCAGGTAAAACTACCGAACACCGGGCCGTTCGTGCACTCCCGCCGAACAAGAAGGGAGGTCGGCGACTTCAGCGGTGTTCGCGCCAAACTGTGTCCGTTTTTAGTTCCATGAGTTAGGCGTCGAACACCGCTGTGCGTTCGCGTGTTTAAAATGGCAGCGACCTCGTGTTCGTGAAACGAATGGCGGCCACCCAGTATTCGTCAATTAAGCTGCGGTTAACCGCAGCTTCTGGGAGGCTAATTGCCGGCACACTCCAGCTCCCAGGTGGTCTAGTCATTCGTGCGGTTGTTCGGTAGATTGAATCTACCGAACACCGGGCAGAAAAGCACGAATAAGTCTTTTCTGCAGGGAAAAAGATGTCTTTCAACATGGGGCCATAGTCCAAAGGCAGCAGATGAGCAACCAGGCTTCTCCAATGCAACGTGGCGAGATTGCTCTCGTCACACGGCACTACCATCGTTTGGGGACTTTGCTGAATTCACAATGTTCCCTAATGGTGACATCGCCACTGGTGGTCTGGTGGGGACAGGTAAAGGTGCGTACTCTTGCGCACATCTATGCAAGACTGCGGGATCCTCTAAAGACAGCCAATTCCCTGCAACCGTCAGTGGTTCAGACTTCGCCTTGTGTCAAAGAAAGTCAGATGTAGGTGAAATACAGAGACAAAGTAATCCCTACATTGTCTCTGTATATCTCTTGTATGTTTTGGAATTTCAGAGAAATTCCAACACAGTCAAAATGACTGTGTTTAAAGATTCTATCTTATGAAATAGTAACTTTTCAGGAGTGGTGGGGTGGGGGAATGACTGCCTAATAAAAAGATCACTGGAAGTGCTAGGAAGAAGTCTTGTACTTGCAAGACACAACTATGCAGCTTTGTGTTGGCAAACCGACTCATTGTGAGGACTATAAAGCCCATATGTGTGATCTTATGGCAGAGTTGTTATCGTTTTCTAAAACACAGGGTAGACAGCACAGTATAAAACCCAGGCTAATAAACACAGTACAGTGGAATGGTAAATTAATAATACGGTATATCTGGTAAAGTCATTCGAGAACACCAAGTTCCAGGTAAGAATGTCAGAAAAGGGTAGAGCAAGTAGGGTGTAATACAGTAACATTTGCCTCTTAAATAACATGTTTTACCTCACGATAAACTGACATACAGCCCTGTTGACAGATTACAAGTAGTTGCCTCACGTCGCTGGGAAGACTATCGCGATGTATTTCCCGCCCCGGGGCCCCCATGTGACCAGCCTCATCCCTTCACCCCTCCCCGGGGAGCTTAGCACTAAGTAACGGG